GCCAAAGTTCCCCTTTAAGTTAAGTTTAAGTTTTTTCTAAGAGAGACAAGTCTTGGGCTGTGTCTTGAGTTTGAAACATTAGTCATCTTCCAATGACTCATATATCTCATGTATAATTCATACAATCTGAAATCAATTCCCTTCCATGTTATTATGCTATAAAATGCTTTCTCCTAATGGTCTGTGTCAATGCCCTCATGTACACATTAAAAGTGTTTCTCTTTCCATTCCTGCTCGTCTCACCTGTCGTAATACTCAGAGCCCTCCTCCAGGCCAGGCAGTACCCCAGTCAGTAGCCCCTGTAGGCCTGGCTTCAGAGTCTTTCCCAGGGGCAAATAGTAGGTCTCATAGAGCCCGAGGAGCACAGGCTTCACAGACATGGCGGCATTGGAGAGTAAGGGGAAGAGCCCAGAGCTGCGGGGATGAAAAAGATTTGAGTGGTGTCACGATCTGATACTAGCTGAAAACATTATTTTAGTGGCAACTGCAATTGGCGCTACAGTATTACCTATAAAGAAAGAGGTCTTTGGCCAGCCTCTTGGGACCAATGATCTTGAAGATGATCTCATAGGTCTCCAAAGCCTTGCGGTGGACCCCGCTGGGCAGGGCGGGGTGGAGGCATTGGGCCAGCCTTTTGCCTATCGTCAGCTTCTTGGGAACCACTTGGTATTTTGCATTGTTCTGCAACACCTGAGAAATGATGTTAGAGTGGTGGGTATGGGGCAGACAACAGTGTTTTTATGTGTAATTCAACCCTTTTGGCAACTGTAGTCATGAAATCTTTTACAACTCATGCAATTACATTAGGCTGAACACCAGCTGGATGGACTCAGTCTGTATATGTATTTGTATGTTGTATGCATACGTCTACAACTTGTAATCTAGAGCAGTGTATGTGAAGCTGCGGCCTGTCTGTGATCCTTACCTTGTTGAGTTTGCCCAGCGCAGAGATGAGGTCTGCCCACTCACTGGAGTACTCAAAGTTCTTGAGGGCTTTGTCCACCGCTGCCACATAGTTCCTGTACTTGGAGTCACTGAGCAGCTCCACTTCCTCTGCATTCATTCTCCTGGGTGGGTATTACACGCTAATGTAAAACACCAGGCACACATATGTACATCACACCTGCAGTGAAAAACAAAAGCGAAAAGAAGAGAAGAAGATGACAAAGTTTGGTTAAGTCATCATTTCCATACTTGAAGTCCATCAGTTGGTATGTGGTCCAGTATTAGTCAGGCTGGAGCCAAATCAGTGGACAGAGTCATATAAGTCAGGAGGAGCATAGTCACATGACAGAGATAATGACATCAACAGTCATTATCTTTGTCACTATCTTTGTTTTACGTGTTTTGGAAATGAAGCAAGATGTGCTGTATCATAGAATGAACAAAAAAACCCTGCAAAGTTTAGTGAGGAAGAGGAGTCATCAACTTTCATAAAATGCTGCTGCTGTCTCTCCCACAATGCCAATTAAGAAAAAAAATATATTTAAGAAACGGCGCCCGAGGCAACAGCTTTCTGCAGCTGGCAGAGACGGGCGAGTCCTCACCGTAAAGCGGGCTGTCGTCAGCATACTTTGATGTTGTTAATTCCATGCTACGCAGTATCATCCAGGCTGACAAGCTCCCATTAAAAACCTAAGTGCTGTTAGCCTAGCTACATTTACTTCTCTTTTATATGGAGTTTTAAACGTAAGCTAGCCTAATAGCACATTAACACACCCAACCAGACATGCCTTTATTATGACCTTCAGATACTCAGTCCTAGACACAGATCCATATGAAAATGTCCTGTCACGATTATCTTGGCCAGATAATTGTGATACATGATCCCGATAATGATGAAAATATACTTGTATATATTAACAGACAATTAAAACATACTAAAATTCCCCAACAGTTTGTTAGGAAACACATATTTATTGCATCTCAGATAAGCACCTCATCTCCCTCTTCTGTATTTTGGAATCTATACTATTCCCACACATCCTGTTTTACTGTTTTTTATGGATACAGCGGGCAAGCCGAGCCTTCAGTCTGAGGATTTTGGAATGACTGAACAGATGGGTTCGTCCCCTCGTTCAAAATAAATCAGCAAGTCAATATAGGACTGCATGCTGGTGAGCTAGAGAGCTTTTTCAAGTCGAGCCATGTGAGGATATCCACCATTATTCCATTGAGTGTTTGTAATATTATTGCTCCATTCCTACTCAGCCCTAAGATTAGTTAGGAATATCACAATATTATGAGTTCTTTGAATAATGGGTTTTGAATTAACGAGGGGCTATTTTGAAAAGGAAAGCAACATTTGGTGGCAGGCTTTTCTTTGGTAGACATTTTGGTTTGTCACAGCGGGAAAAGGTGGAACCACTAACATTAAAGATGACTCAGTGTCCCAGGAAACCGTATCAGCGAGCCTTCAGGCACACTGCCGCCATTACTAATTCATGTAATTAATCACACCTGTGCTCTTCCTGCTGTGACATGTCAACATGTCTGCAGACAGACAGACAGGGACGTGAACAGGGCCGCAATACGCTATACACGCGTTTCACTACCCCACAGATATTAAGTCTCTTCCATAGCGAATATTCTCCCCCCAGCCTAAAGTTGGCGCTTTGTAGTCAATGTCGTCTACGCTGTACTTTTCAACCAGCGAGGCGCACATGTGAGACGCAAGCAGTAGCGGTGTAACGGCGTGGGCAATAGTTTGGGGCAGCAGTGTGGGCGTCAACTGCTGCGCACAGCTTGACTCTGGTGTTTGACCCCACTTGCACAGCCCGGGCTGCATGTGTTGACTTCAGTGTGTTGACTCAGTGTCAGGTTGAGTTCAGGGAGACCAATCAACTGGGGCCGCGTCCACGAAGGCCTGGCTCCTCTCCACATACATGCGTTCGACGGTTGCCCCTCCATATATTCGAGCCACCCCACGACTGCGCTCCCAGTGTGTCTGCTTGTGTACCAGGGCTTTCTTCCTGCAAACACTGGAGCCGACGATGTCAGACG